TAAATCAGAAATTTTTTGTAGTGTAAATTCAAATAAATAGATATTAAAGTAAGGAGGAATGTTGGGAATATTACTTTATTATCTTTTATTTAAATTAGGTATTAAGAGATTTTATTATCTTTTTAAGAGAGAAGGTAAAAAGTTATCAGGTTATTATTTTGATTTAGGCAGTTATGATTGAGATATTATGAATATTTAATATTTTGTAATATTTTTACTCTATGTATTCATAGAGTACATGAATAGAAATATACACACATGATATATCAGAAATACATATACATAAAACCCTAAAAATACCAACATAGTTCCTATCTCTTAACTCCAACACCATTGTTGTTCTGGTCACAGTCCCTTCGATTCCTCCTGCAACATTGTGTATATGCATCATCTTTTCTCTAATTGTTTTTTCCTATTCAAGGATCAATGCATGTTCTTTTGTTTCTTGAAACAAACGAAGTCTATTTTTTGTGCCTAGGGAAATTAGAGGAACAAGATCTATTATTTATTTACTTTTAGATACCTAGTTGTGGACAAAAGAACAAAGAAGCTAATCCATCTTTTTGCTACACTCCATAGTAGGCAGAAAGAAGCCATCTCTATTTTAAGGTCATTGACTCACAACACAACATGACAACACAAGAGAACCAATTCATTTTATTTATAGATTATTCACAAAACAAGGTAACAACCAACCACACACTCTATTTATTAACAATAACTGCAACCTCAACTCATCTTATGACATGCAAGTGCCACAACATCTCAATTATTTGAAGCTAGTTCTAAAGCTTACTAATAACCTTAATAAAGGATCTATGTTGAACATGCATATATAATTCCCATATAACATTACAAGCATATCCTATAACAAAATTATGCTATTCTTCATCGCCCTTCATATTTTGTTTTCAATCATTCCGAAATGCTTGATAGCTTTAATCTTAGGACACTTACTCACTAGTTACTATATACATTGTTTATTTATGTCTACATCAGATTGTCTTTTGCATAATCTTGAGGTGATCACAAATGTATTTTAGTTGATTTGTATTGAGAAGTTGTCAAGAGGGAAAGGAAGTGAACTGACCAACTCGATAATAATAATGCAGGTTAATTACTTTATGACTAGTGAGGTTTTTCATATCTTTGAAATTAATTCTTGGGACCTAAGTTTTGAGAAAAATTATGAAGTCTTTTAGCTGCCACCTACGTATATGTCCTAACATGATCCATGTGGCTCGTCTCTTTCTCTGCGCACTTTGTTTGAAGTTAATTGCAGTATGCTTTCATAGACCTTGTACCATCTGTCCACTAATTGATGGTTGTATTAATTAGCTCCTGGTTAATCAATGCTCTATTTTTGTATACTTTTATAGAAAAAGTTTCCTTTACCATGCTACGATTTACTTGTTCTCGGATCCAAGTGTACAAAAGACAGTTAAAATAGTAACTCCTTTAAAGAGATTCAAGCAACATACTATTTAAGACTCTCATTTTGTAGCATCTTTTTATAATTTATTGAAATTAATGTCGATTTTGTAGTTTGAAAATACTATGAGTTCATGTTTCAATATCTTAAAAAAATAAATATTTAAATAGAAATCGTGATTGGAATGAGTTATGTCAAGATAATTTGTAATTGAATGATAGTTGTACATGGTTCCATTATGATTATGATTGTATATGGTTTCATTAGTAATTAATATTAACCAAACCTCCTTGATTTCCTTGATCTGCAAATTGATGGTCATTAAATGTGCATATTTTCAGCTTGTCTGGAATATATTGGAACTCAAAGCTCCGATTTTAGTTAGTTTGAGCTTGCAAATGGTCATGATATTTCATGGCAACCAAAGAAAGTATAGTACCGAGTATATGGGTGCAATTAAGTGTATGGTTTACCTATCTAGTAGCAGATGGGATTGCTATCTTAAATAAAATAAAATATTTTTATCTATTACAATAAAAATCATGATTATAATTATTTAATGTAATTCTATTCATGTTTTTGTTTTTTCCGAAGATCAGGTCTTGAGATGTAGTCCATAATATTAACTCAACTTGGCTTCTTAACTTGGACAGAAGTGAAATTACAAATTTAAAAACACCAGTGACAAGTGCAATATCTATCTTCTACAATATCTTCTTAATTTGTATTTTCTTAAAGGTAGTTAATTTGATTAAGGTTTTATTGAGTTTTTGTTACACATGGATTCACCTGCTTAGGTTTACAATATTTCACATCATGACCATAACAAAAGCTTGATAAATACAGAGTTGAAAATGTGAACATGTTGATGAATTAAACATAATCTAACATTAGAATTTATTCTAAAGAACATTAGAATTTAAGTTTGTAACACGTGTTGTTGTTAAACTTAATAATAATTTATTTTCTTGAAAACATAACTTTTTTAGTTTTGTTAAACCAACTGCAAGAGTAATGAGACCAGATCGAAGATTGATGTTACATAGAAATAATCAATTTGCATTATAATTGAAGAATTCATAAATTGTGTTAATGGTATAGCAGGATGGATTCCTTGCTCATGTGGAAAATTTAGGAATTGTTATTAGGGTGTATCATTTAATGTGGAAAAGCATTTGTATCACCATGAGTTTATGGATGGTTACACAAATTGGATCCTTCATGGTGAGGAAAGATGGATCGATAATGTATCAACTTCTGTCTTTGAAGAACTTAATGAGGATAATAGAAGTCCATATGTTGATATGGTTATTGATGCTGCTTATGTTAGATTAAATCCAAAAGCAGATGAAAACACAGTTGCAGACACAAACTGATATGCAAGCATTGATGCAAGCACAAATAACGATACAAACGAAATGCGAGACACTCATGCAATAACAAATGCAAGAAGAAATGAATTTTTTTTAAAAAACATTATTATTTGCTTTAAAGAAACAAGGATAAAAATGTACTTTAAAGAATCAAAATTGTTTCTATTTTTATTGTGTTGATATAAAACTTTTTAGTTAATACAAAATATTTTAGTTGAAATATTATTTTTGTTATATTTTAATTGTTTGAAACATCATTTTTATTATATTTAAACAATACTTTTATATTGAAAATTGATAAGCGGGAATATCTACTACGCCAATAATAATAATAACAATTAGAAAATTAGTTGCAAATAAAATTGTGAGAGATTAACTACGGATTAGCGAGAGAATAATTTTGATATATAGTAGCGACAAATAATTGTAATGGATTAGCTACAAAATAGCGAGAGAAACATTGCGAAGTATTAGCCACATATTAGCGAGGAAACAATTGCGAGGAATTAACTCCAGATCAGCTAGAGATAAACTGTCAGGGATTAGCTACATATTAGCGATAGAAAAATTGCGAGAGATTAACTATAGATTAACGATAAAAAATTGCGAGGGATTAGCGAGAGAAAAATTGCGAGGAATTAGCTACAGATTAACTACAAGTTAACTTAAAATTTAGGAGATCAATTAGCTAGAGAAATACAAAATTTCATCACTTAAATTAGTTAGGGACTTAGCAACAGATTAGCGACAAAATTTGTTACAAATTTGAGAGAGAATACATCTCTATCTAATTAGCTACTTGATTTAGCAATGAAATATTTCATAACTAATTTGTAGCAAAATGTATTATAGCAAGATATTAGCTATAAAATAGTTACAAAATATATTATAGCTAATATGTAAAATTTTTGTCACGTTGAGAGCAAAACAAATTTATAGTTTATATGTCAAGTAAAATAAATGAAAAATAGAGTATATGTATTTTAAAGTTTTATTTTTAATAAATAGGTTAACTTTAAATAATTATTAATTTTACTATGATGAAATAATTATTATTACAATTATCATATTTTTTAAAGTAATTTAAAATAATAGGTAATTTAAGTATTAATTATAAAATTATTAAAAAAATAATTTATAAATAATAGTTAAAATTTTGATTCATTAATAAAATAATTAAAAAATAGTAATTCAATCATTTTTTGCTGTTTTTTATATATCTAAAAAGTTTTAAATGAATATAGGACATTATATATTTTGTGGCAATTTTTAATTATTAAAATATAATAAATAATCATAAAATAAGTGTGAAGTTTGTAACATTTTGAAATTGCAGGAAAATGTTAAATGAAAATTAGAATATATTTTGTGACGGTTTTTAACAACTGGTAATTTTTTCTCTTTTGACTGCTAATGAGATTAAAAATAGAAGAAATTGATTAAATCTTTTAATTGTATTAAATAAAAAATCAATAGTAGTAAAAAAGTGATTTATTAATCTTTTGCATAAGAAAAGACAAAAGACAGTGTCATGGCATTTTACATTTCAATTCCAATTCGTTAAATTACGTTTCAAGAAGATCGAGATGAATCAGTTTATCAATGTGTAGGACTTCATTAAAGCCTCATTCGTTCAATTTTTTTCATTCAATTCCTTTGAGTAAAGAAAAACTGATTCAATGACTTATATAAATCGTATTGAAATAAATTCTTCTGTGCTTCAGTATATAAATAAAATTTGAAGCTATAAATTAAGAGTCAATGTTACCAATGTAAAAACGAAATCAATCAAGTACGAAATCAATGTTACTAATGCAAAAACGAAATCAATTTGAAGCTACAAATTAAAAGTCAATGCTTTTAGAAACATGTCTAAGACACATAAACTGAGATATAACAAGTACGAAATGAAATTGCAATGTTCACTCTGAATAAAACTGTTCTTGCAACCTAATAACTATAAACACTACTACAGAAAACACTTTCTACGACAGCATCCAACGTCGGTTATGACGAAGACCGACGTTGTACAAGACGCGGTGACAAACTTGTAAATATGAAACAAAATTTAACGTCGGTTATATAATAACCGACGTAGTAACTGCAATTCAACGTCGGTTATTTAAATAAATTCAAGTACGAAATGAAATTGCAATGTTCACTCTGAATAAAACTGTTCCTGCGACCTAATAACTCTAAATAAATTCTATAACGGCACTAGCACTTCTCTCAAATGCCAATATCTTCCCTTTAAGTTTTTTACCATAGGATGGCCAGGGACATGTGAAATTCACCCTCTTCAAGACTTGAGCGTTTTCAAATACAAGTTTGGCAAAGCGAAGCTCATGCTCATTACCTTGAAATCTTCCAAAATTTACCACTTCAAGTTTAGATGCAACACAGGGAGGAACAAGGTTTGGAGTGGAAGGATGCTCAAAACTAAGTAGCTCCTGATGATCAAATATATATAACAAGACAAGAATCAAATAATGAAAAAACGATAAATTTAGTGATTATTTGGTCACTGTGAGCTTCAATCAATCAATCAACCACTAACCTTCAAAGTAAGAGTCTCAATAAATGGTGCCTTTAGGAGTAAGAACCACAACAATGAACCCGTAATTTTATCTACTACCTCCAGATCAGTCAACATTTCAAATTCAGGAAGACCGACCATAGAATTTACTGCTGGTGCAAGAACCTGAGTAACAAAGGAACAGGATGGGAGGGTTTGATACTGTAACACTCAATATACTATTCATATAATGCCATAAATAGCAGCTAGATAAATAACAAAAATAGACTTTTACTAGCTTTCAATATAACATTTGTAGGGCAAAAATTTTCAGCATTCTCAAACAAGGAAGTTGATGCTATATTATTAAATTTCATTGTTGTCTGACAGTCCTGGACACAAAAGGTGCAGCAAGGAAGCATACCTGCGGGTGTTCAAACCTTAGACGTTCCACTTTATCATTGAATGTGCTCAGAAACTGGTAAGCAAAAAGTGCATTTGGAAACCCATTCAAGATATAGCGTGGATAAATATTAGCAGAGGCAACACTTTTTATAGTCAAGGCAACCGACATGGTATCTGACATTTGCCCACTATAGGAGAATTCTACAAGGTGTGAGGCACACAAGTTGATTACACACTGTGAACTATCACTCATTATCACATTTGTATCCTCGATTATAAGCACTTCAAGTTTAGGCATTTCTATACTTATCCTTTTTACATTTATCCAAGTGCAATTAACTGTCTTATACTTTCTAAGAGATGGAAAGTTTAGCCTCAACTCTTGGACGGAGTTAGGAGGAACACAGGTAATTGGTATTCCATACAACCTTAGGACAGTGAGGGACAAAAAATCAACATTCAAAGTGGGAATTGTAGCTCTGATATCATAATCCTCCATCCGTCTGTGACGAACCGGAAAAGCTTACATTCTCAACACCAATTTCTCTAAGGACCGGGATTTCCAAATGGGAGAATGTGAGGAGATCTCAAATTGTGGGCCTGAATTAATACGAATCTCTTTGACTTTCCGACCTATCATCACAGACATCCACTGTTTAAGATGATAAAAATCATAACTTTCTGAAATGGAAATAGATAAACTTTGGATGCTTGAAGAATTCAGATGAAGTAGCACCCTATACACAGAGTTCAAAAAGCTGTTTTTTCTTATATAATTGCGATACTTATAATCTCTATCGTTGAAGTGCAGCTTGGTGATGAATGTCCACATGTATTCCCATCTCTTCGATAAAACACTAGTGCGAACAGCTTCTCTAGTAGAAAGTAAAGAGAGAATGTGACCAATAATGATATCAGGTAGATTGCTGATTCTGTCCTGATCTTCACTGGATTTTTGCATCTTGGAAGAGGAATCTGACAAGTTCATGTTTGTTTTAAGATCCTACATAAAAGTTAAAAAAAAAAAAAACAAAGAGCTGCATTGTTAAGATATACACACAACATCATCTAAAAACAAACGAAGTTTGGAAAGGTTGTAAAGATAAGTTACTGTGATATTTAAGACACACTCACTCAGTCTCAATTTGCAGTGTGGAATCATGAAAATGTGAAATGCTACATGTTTCAGACACAGCTATTTTCTGTTGTTGCATGCAAGGCTTGAGGCTATTAATTTGAACAGAAACATATCTAGAGCAACCCTAATAAGTTTTCTCTTCTTGTCTTATTTTTACATTATTTTTGTTATGTATTCAATAGAATCACTCTTCACATCTACTACTATATACACAAGTCATATAAACATCATACTATACAACATAGTCTGAAAGTTGAAGCAATGAGAGTTGAGCAAGAGGGTCAAAGTAGTTGACAGTTATGGTCTCCATCTCAAGTTGCGCAAAACAGAACAACAAATGAAAATGAAAATTGGAAGAGACATGATGATGAAACAAAGATCAAAAGAAAAATGCAGAGCGATGAGGAACAGACCATGGGAGAGATATTGAAGGTTTTGAAATGGCGGAGAAGAGGGACAAACTTGAGAGAATCTCTCCAGCTAAACCCTAGAGAGAGAGAAATTGAAAGACTGCAAGAAGTAAAGATGAAATGTCGTTTCCAAGATGGGGAAATGGAAATTTAATGCAGACAAAGACCCGTGTCTGAGTATTTTGCATAAAAAGTAAACCTCAAATGAGAGCTGTTTTCCTTTCTCTCAAGCTTGTGTATGGATTGAGGGGTAAGGATTTAATGGAATGATTTGAGTGGATTTATAGGATTGTTTGGATGAAGATAAGATAATGAATTTGAAAGGATACGAGGGAATTTATTATCAATGATATTATTGAATAATAATATTTTTAATATAATAATTAAATTATCCTCGTGAAATGGAATGTGATATTTATATAATTAAGAAAAGTTAATAAAAATAATTTAAATATTTATTACTTGATTATCCACTTTTTTATCTTTTCATAATAAATCTGTCAGCACGTGGAAGTCATCTCTCCATCATCCTAAGTCTATTCAAATAAGTATAAGTAAATTAACATATATCGTTACAAATTTTTTCCTTCAAATTCTCTACTTCAGTAAATCGGTAGATAAAGAAATTTTATATGGTATAATAAGTTATTTAATTTCTAATTTTATATGGTATAATAAGTTATTTAATTTCTTTTTAGAATTGATTTATTACGTCAATTACAAAATCAATGAAATTCCAATGAAATTAAATTAATATTGAATTACTTGAAAATAATGTTGCATCATTAAATATCTATTTCATATTTTTAAAAGTAAAAAATAACATATATAAATGGATCCTAAAGGAGATGCTTATATTTTAGGTTAAAAATATGATACCATGTTTTTTTATATTTTTTTTACTATGGTATTTTGTCTCCTATTTTTAAATTTCGCAAATTTTGATAATGTTTCTACATCATTTATTTTTTATTATTATTATTATTATTATTATTATTAATAAGAAGAAGAAGAAGAAGAGTAGCATAAAATAAGTAGAGTTCGTCTGTTTAAATGTTTTTAAAAATAATTTTAGTTTTGTAGTTTTTAAAAACTAAAAATCTTTATAACTATTTTGTAAAACTAGTTTTTTTTTAAATTAATTTTAAAATTAAAATTAAAACTGGTAAAACATGTTTTTCTATTTTTTATTATCAACATTTTTATCAATAATTACATTAAATCATTCAGTTTTCATTATTATAAAGTATCCAAATCATTTTATAACTTTTGTTACGTAATAAATTATATCACTATTTTTTATTTAAAATAGTTTTTAAAAATAGAGTTATCAAATATATTTTTTTCACATTCAATTAATTTTTAAAACTTTTTTTAATAACTAAAAAATAATATTAAATGAAATAAATCTAACTCTTAATAAATAATCATTATTTTTTATTTAAAATAGTTTTTAAAAATAGAGTTATCAAATAATTTTTTTCACATTCAATTAATTTTTAAAACTTTTTTTAACAACTAAAAAATAAAATTAAATCCAACAAGTCTAACTCTTAATAAATAAACAATATGTTTAATTTTTCACCATTAGTCTCATTTATTTTACATTATCCTGAAATTTTTTTTGGCATATTTTAAGTTAAAGATCAACAACCATTAACTTATTGTTAACATATTAAATGAGCATTTTATTTTATTTTCAGCATAAATACTGCAATAGAGTAATTACAATATAATTTCACTAGCATAGTAATTGAGTTCACAATTATAAGTTCAAATGGAAAACTCTTAACACCATGTAAAGTTGCTTCAAAATAAAAAAACAAATTGAGTCTAGTAGTGGAAGATGAGATGTGAGGTTTACTTTCTATTTCTTCATGGCACAACTCCATTTGCATAAAAATGTAACCACAAGTGAATTTTTAGTATTAATGTAGTTAACAAAATCTGCACCATATTAGTCTATCACTTCCAAATTATTGGTCTAGCATGAAATTACTTATTACTTAAAGTTATCTCATTACCTTTTTAACAACTTTCTAATGACCAATGCCTTAATTACTCTAATATCTTTCCATAATTCCCACTACAGATGCAATGTCAGGTTTAATGTAAACTTAAATATAAGACTTACTCAAAACATTTTTAGTCATTAACTTAATATAATAAGTCTATCATCCTTTAGAAGTCGTACTTGGTGGATTTCAGGTTAAATATTTCTAAAAGTTTTTTGAAATAAGCTTTTTAAGATAAATCTAAAATATCTTGAGATTTTTTTTTATGAATAGTATATCTATGACTAAAGATGTTTTTTTTATCCTTTATATCAAACTTTTTGACAGAAATTATTTCACCTTGTATAATATACATTTATCAATTCATTCATGTATAAAATTAAAAAACAAAATTTACTCCCACTAACCTTATAATATATACTTTAATCCATGATTTTTTTTTTCAAAATCAAATAAAAATATAATTTCATGAAACTTTAAATATCATTGTTTTGCGGCTTGTTTTGATCAATATATGAATTTATTAACCTTGCAAAAATATTATTTCATGTAAACATTTTCTTCAATCACCACTAAGAAATATTGTTTTCACATTTATTTGATATAACTTAAAATCAAAATGAACTATTGATATTATTATTATTTGAAGAGAATATTTATTAGAAATGGGATAAAAAGCCTCCTTGTAGTTTTGCTCCTTCTTTTTGAGTAAACTCTTTGCTAAAAAATTATTTTATGTGTTTTCATATTAACTTGTGAGTCGTTCTTAGTCATTGAGACTCATTTACATCCAATAAATTTTATACCATTAGGTAATTCAACAAAATACCAAACATGATTAAATGTCATAGAATACACTTCATGTTCATTGCATAATACAAAAAATTTGATTCTTTACAACTCCTAGCTTGTGAAAATGTTTCTGTCATTTTTTTGTCCTAATATTATAACTTGATTCTTATAAATATAATTCATAATCATTAGCAATTGTCATTTTTTTATTATAGTATATCTTCTTAATGGTTTATCATTACCTTGATGAATAACTCGTTGTTCAACCAATTGGTCAAAGGTTGTTTAACATTTACTTATTAATCCTTGTTAGCAACTTAATCTACATTATCATCTTTAACAATTTGTGAAACTTAAATTACAAGTTGTTTATCAAGCTTGTGAGCTATAGAGGTATGGATGGTTAATAGTTTATCATTTGATTAAGAGGATTGAACTTCCTAGTGATCTTTTTCAAAATGAATATGTTGAATTAGATGACTTCCACTAATAAAATCATTTTCAAGACACTTTGCATTTCTTGATTCCACAACTCTACTCGCTATGAGACTCGAGTAGAACTTATATCCTTTGGAATTTTTATCATATCTAATAATATATCCACTAATAATCTTAGGATTTACACTACAAGAAATATTAAAATTACCGACGGTCAAAATCCGTCGGTAAATGAATATTACCGACGGAATTCCGACGGTCAAAAATCCGTCGAAATTCGATTGTCGGTAAATATTACCGACGGATTTATCCGTCGATAAATGTGTTACTGAAATTATCGACGGATCCAGATCCGTCGGTAATAATTTTATTAATTATTAAATATTTTCTTATTTATAACATATTTTTTTTATAGAACCCCTCCCCTTATATTCTTATTATTTATTATTAATTATTTCTCCATATTATATTTTTATAGCTTTGAATTATTGTCAGATTAAGAGAAATGTCATTGGCAAGATTGAACGCAGTACCTTAGAGTCGAGGCAGATACTCCAATCACTAAGCTACTAGAATTTCTTGATAACAATTTACAAATAAATTATATTTATATACAAATATACAAATACATTTATATATATTTATATATATTTATATACATTTATATATATTTGTATATATTTATATATATTTATATATATTTATA